GTCTTGGTGATATCCTGTAATTGTGTTCTTCATTTGGGTTCATCCTCCTGAGGTTATATAATCTGTGCCTGGAATCTCCTTATTTTACAGGACTTATAAACTGTAGACATATGTTCAGATCATTACTAAGTGTCTTTAAAACCAAAGCATTATGTTAAGTGAAATAAGCCACTCAGAGAAAGATAAGTATCACATGATCTCACTCACATGTGGAATCTAATGAACAACATAAACTGATGAGCAAAAGTAGATCCAGAGACACGGAAGCATTTAATGGACTTCCAAACCTCAGAGGAAGGGTAGGGGAGGGTGAGTGGGAAACAGTTCAACCAATGGACTTGTATCCATATATGTATAGCCCATGGACACAGACAATAAAAGGATAGGGAAGGCCTGGGGGGTAAGGGCGGGCAGGGAGAGGTTAGTGGGGGGAAAAGAAGACATATGCAATACTGTCAACAACAAATATAAAAAAACAACAACACCATAATTTGCTTTTTCCTTTTTTACTTAAAATAATTTTAAAAGAAAACTAGAACAAATTTAATACATTGATTATAAAAATGATTAATACTCCTTGATTATTTACTATGTTCTGGGTATAGGGTATGGCTTTAGAATAAAACCAAAATAGAAACCATTATTATATGTCGTTATCACTAGAAATATAAACAACCATCATTAAAGAACTATTACTGCTAAAAATTGCTGGACTATTTTTTTTTTATTTGTTGAAAAAAAGTCTGCCTTGCTCATATTCATTGGTTGTTGAATTCAATATGTTAAAAATGTAAAATAACATTAATTATATTTATATTTAATAACATCACATTGCTATTTTTATTTATTTAATATTTAGTAGCTGAGTTGGAGGAAATATGACATTCAAATCTGATATGAAGATGAATTCATACTTAGGTTGATATGTGGTGAAATATCACTGTCTATTATCATAAGGATGTTAGGAAGTAGATTAACATTTAATTAATATAAGTGTTTTCTACATGATATCTGAAAAAGCAGAAGGTCTTCCAGACTCTGGGAATGTATCTGAAGACAATAAAGTCTACTAATGGAGAGTAAAATTATTCAACCAAAAGTTGCTGCCCTATAAATTCTACTCATCGGTAAGAGTGCTGTACACTTCAGTAGTATATTAAAAACACACAAAGACATTTAGACAGGATGAAATAAAATAACTGTATATGAAACTGTTATCATTCCGATCCCTATCCCGATGGATCTTTATACATTCCACTTGCCTTCTTTGATATCACTAGAATATAAAATATCCCTCTGCTAAAATAAAGCTTCTTTCTGTTCACCTATACTGTCTCTTTGGCTCATAAGTTTCTTCTATAATTTCTACTTGGTTTCTTGTCCATATTTTTGCTATGAAGTAATGGTTCTAATAATTCAATCTTATGTGCCCAATAGGAAAACCATCTAATCAAGCAATAACAACAACAACAACAACAACAACAAAATCTCAGGTGACCCTATGTGTGCTACAAAGGTGTGAAGAACAAGTAGCTCTTTATAAATTAAAAAAAATAAATAAAACCACACACATAAGGATTACTTTCCTCCCTTCCCCTACCTATCTACACACACACACATCCCTGAAAAAGAATCTGAAATCTAAGTGTTAAAGATTTTCATGTGGGAAGACTTATTATGTATTTTAATTCTTTCCCTATGTATTGAATCTACTTTTTTCACCATAATAATACATTATCTTGCCTTAATGATTTTTGGAATAAATGAATATCACTAAATAAGGCAAATCAATGTAGTTCACATATAAAATTGTATATCCCTACTCCTCAAATAATATTTTTGAGGAGTTACCATCCATCTATTAAGTTCTGGGCTCGGCATTCTTTTATAAAACAGAGCAAGGCCTTCTTGAGTGTTAGATTATGCATTTGGATCTCTGATTTAGCGGAACAGTGTAAAAACCTCTCATAATCAGAACACTCCCTATTGGCTTTACATCTGAAGATCCCCAAGAGTGCTATTTGTCCCAGTGAACATCTGGAACAGATTACATGCAGTTAATTGGCTCCAGGTCGAGCTTGTTACAGACAGTAGCATGCAGTATAACCTATGCAATTCACTAAATCCACCCACTTGAGGTTAAATCGCACCTACTTCTCTCTATAATTCCTCCCAGATGCAGGGCACACATAAGTGTGCAAACAAAATGCATGCACACACACGCGCGCGCAGACACACACAAACATGAACTGGAAGATAGCAAAATGTCGATGGATGAGTGGAGAGGTTGTTGGCAATACATTTTACCCATAAATTATTTCAATTAAAAGATAAAGAATTGAATTCAAAAGATTTTTGGGAAGGAAAACAATGAATCAGGAGCAGCTGACTTTAGAGAGTTGACTGTTTTATAGTAGAAACAATATTTAAAGTCAAATAAAACGTTCCAGCAGGTTCAGGATTTGTGTTTTATTTTGTCCCTCACCCTTAGCATATGTTTCAGCACGTGTAGGTACTTATCAGAATGTCATAGAAGCAAGGAAAGCAGTCCTTTGATATTTAACTTATTTAACAATATTAATGAGTTGGGTTACAAGGAACAGTATGACTACTGTTCATTGAAAACCAAAACATCAATCTTCTTAACTTATAGTGTTGGAGGCACAGGGCATGTCATAGCGATTAATGACCAGTTGGAGGAGTAGATATCTCAATACATAGCCAAGGGCCATTAACCCCAACTGGCCATTAATTCCCAGGAAATGTCTTGTTCTGAAGTCATTATTGCTAATAAAATGCACACATGGAAAATTTCCTCTCTTTTGCCTCTGCATAAACATACATTCACATTACATGCAATGTTGCATGTCATGAAAAAAAAGTAGTATTTCACATGTCCAGAGGCTCAGAAACAACTAAGCCTAATGAGAAATTTAATACCTACTTAAATTCTACATTCAATTTGCCTTTCACTTCTTTTTCAAAGGGTATGACTAGGTGGACGAATACATGCTTGTATGTCAAGGCTGTGGATCTGCTGCAATCAGATAGCTGTGTTCTGCCAATAAGTGGGTATAGGAAAAAGTGAAAGGAACAGGCAAGTGGGATTAGAGAAACCTGATGAATATGGATAGAAGCAGCTCACATGATGTAATTTCAAAGGCAGTGTGCAGTAACAGTGTAGTTTGTGTCATAATATATTAGGTACCAGGACAGGCATGAGACACATTGAAGAACTAGCTCAAGTTCCTCGTTGGTGTCCCTTCTTTTCTGCCCCACCGGACTATACAAGGTCTCTGCTTCTCCTCAGCAATTTAACTATGTCTATCATGCTTCTGGCTTTTCATGAACCCTTAAGTAGGTTTCCCTGTTTTCTGGAACTGCCTTTTTGTATCCCACTCGCCTTTATCTGTCCTCCATGAAATTGCCCTAGTCTTGCTTAAACCTATGTGATACTCTTTTGAGCTGTCATCCCTAATATCTCATAAATATCCCAATTTTAGAAATTATTTCATGGTACTTTCTTTTCAGAAAAGAATCTTATCTTTATTTTTACCTTAATAAATACTTAGGCTTTAGCTAGGGTTTAAATACATACATCCATATATATATATGTATTTATATATGCTTATATATACTTATATATCCATATATATGTATGCATATATATGCATGCATATAAACACACACGCACACACACGCGCGCGCGCGTGTGTGTGTGTGTGTGTGTGTGTGTGTGTTTAGTTGAGCAAAAGTTAATTACAGCAGCAACAAACCAGAAATGGCTAGGAGCACTCTACCATCAGGAGTCGGGGAGAAGACATATAGAGAAAGTGCAGAAAGGATAGAGAAATAGAAACATCATAAAAGAGAAGCACATCGATTGGCTGCCTCTTGCATGTCCCTTATTGGGGATACGGCCCACCATCCAGGCATGTGCCCTGACTGGGAATAGAACTGGTAGCCTCTTGGCTCATGGGTGGATGCTCAACCACTGAGCCAAACTGGCTGGGCAGAAAGTAAATTATTTCATTGCTATATTTTAAAGTTTAGTTGGATGTTTGTGATTGGTTGTCTTTGGTGTTTTGAGTTCATAATTTTGAGTCATTCATAGGCTTAGATTTAGGTTTACTAACCATCATGACATTAGAGCCATGCCAATCTAATGCCCTTCTTCTTTAATTAGTTTACTAGCATTAAATCATTTAATCTATGTAAAGCAATTTAAAAAAAAAAACTAGTATATATAAATGCTCAATGAATGTAATTTGTAATTATTATTATTAGGATTAGTTTAAAATATGTGAGTTTTGATTTTTTTCATATTTTAACAAAGATAACCAAGGCAGCTACTTTATAGCAACCTTGTTAATAACCACATACTTCCTCTTATAAACCCTTTATTTTACAGTTAGTTTTTCTATTCAGTGCTCTCCTGTGTATAACTGTATATGGTGCAACTAAGATTACATTGTCTCAGGCCCTGACCTGTTCATCTCTAATTTTCCCAATTTTAGGTAGACTTTGCAAATATCTTTAAAGTCACAAGAGAAGAACTCTTCAAGAAGATAGCTTTTATTTGTTTTTGCTTGGGGGATCACTTCTTTTGACAATAATATGGGAAAAGAGTAGGCTTCTGCCAGTGTTTTTATCTGATTAAAAAATTCAAGTTACAGGAAGAAATGACTCCTTCTACATTTGAATAAATAGCTTTAGAAGAAGATATGCTAATTAGCATAAATTGTTGATTTTAAGTTATACACTCATTTTCACAACTGAGTAAAGCCAGGCATGGATTTTATTATTCATTTCTGATTTATTTCGCTGGCAAAAATTTGTAAGAGCAAAACAAGAGAGAAGGAGCAGTTGTTTTTAAATCTATATACATTCATAAATTTATGACTAAGACTTGGAAAAATCTGCAAAATGCTATATTAATAATAGTTCTTTTCTTATTTTTAGCTTGTTTCCACTGTTTCAAAGAGAACATTGTTTTCATCATGAATGCTAATAAAGATGAGAGACCAAAGTCCAAAAGCTACTATTTTTACTTTTTTCATGCCTTGATGATGTTAAGCATGACCATGCTGTTTCTTCCGGTCATTGGAACTTCTAAGCAAAATATTCCACGGCTCAAGCTAACCTACAAAGGTAAATGTGTAAATGTTTTCATATTTTCTTTTTCATTACTGTATTTCTTTTATTTAGAAATGCATGTTGACTTCACTGAATGTTTATTGTATGGGCATTAGTTAATAAAAATATTATAGAACACAAAGACCAATCACTTATTATTTTTGTGAAGAAAATAGATACTGTATGTGTATATGCAATTTACATTCCATTTCTTACATGATCAACTACTTAAGAGTATAATTATGAGATTTTGGTCTGCACGTTGTAATCAATTTTGTATTAAAACAAATCAATCTCTAAAAAAAGAAAAAATATTTCATATAGCTGCTATCAATTAATTTATCCCTAGAGGATATATATTTTTAAAAACAGTAAGATATCATCAAAAAAATTAACACACTGATGTATACTTTTAACATCTCAAACATGTACATATTTTATTATTTTAAGGTAGTATGAAAGGCTTAAAAGGATGTGAGAACTATTTCAGATATGAAATATGCTAAGCTAATTGCTTTTAATATTTAAATTAATATAAAAGCAAAGTTTATGAGACAGAGCCAAAACCGGTTTGGCTCAGTGGATAGTGCGTCGGTCTGCGGACTGAAAGGTCCCGAGTTTGAATCCGGTCAAGGGCATGTACCTTGTTACGGGCACATCCCTGGTGTGGGGTGTGCAGGAGGCAGCTGGTCGATGTCTCTGTCTCATAGATGTTTCTAGCTCTCTTTCTCTCTTCTCCCTTCCTCTCTGTAAAAAATCAATAAAATATATAAAAAAAATAAAAGCAAAGTTTATGTAAGTTATACTCAATAATCTTATGTATATGTATGTGTAAAAGATATATGTATATACTTACATGTGACGGAGAAGACAGAGAGTGCCAAGTTTTATGCTCAAAGATTTCTTTTTGTTCCCTTTTCTATGATATACCTTTGGCTGCTTTAATACCTTAACTAATGAGAGGAATGTAGGGCTCAGACTTCTCTATTCTGAAGTTGGCAGGTAAATATCCTGGTGGTTTTAATATCCTCTAATATTCAAGACAGGTTATTTTCAGCTTAAATTAAATATCAATTATAAAAGCTAAATTGATATCAAATAAAAGTGTTAATGGAATTAGCATATTATACACATTACACATTTTTATATGTTGGTATTTGTTTGGAATTTATATCATGAATTAAAGAGATAAGGTAAGATACCTTTTTTAGTTTTATAGTCTCATTGAATTTCTAGAACAGATAAAACTAATCTATGGTTAAAAAAATCAAAACATAGCCTTTTTGTGGTCAAAGGGAAGATAATTGGAAATGGATAAGACAGGAAACTTCTTGGGATTATGGAAATGTTCTCTATTCTGATTAACATATCAGTCACTGAAGTATATGGATGTTTTACAACCCTTCATATTGCACATGTCCAATTTGTTTATTTGCCTGTACTTAAAATCACCTTAAGAAAAGAACAGAAAAATAAATATTAAAATTACATGGAAAGTTTGAAAACAAAGATATGAAAGGAAATGCTATCTGATTATATGCTAGTGAATAACACAAGAATGTTGCATTGATAAGGTGAATAACGTAAAATAAATCAGACTTGCAAAAAACTTTATTAGTAGTTAATAATCAGTAATTATGGATTCATTAGGAGCAAAGGATTGGTATAAGGATTGGGTGTGAATTATGTCATTTCATTCTCACCACCATCCTGTGAGATGGGGATTATTACCATTCCTTTTACTATAGATAAAGTTACAGAGGTGCTGAGAAATTGAGAAATGTGCCAATATCTCAAATTAGTTCATGGTTCAGCTCCTGCATCAAACCCATGCTTCAGAGGACCTGCATGCCTAATCCTGTTTCTCAGACCCTAGACATCCGTAGTTCTTCCCGGAGGCACTTGCTTCCCAGAGTGAACTTTAAAGTTGGAAGAAGCATCTTGCTGATATTTAACCAACTGAATATATGAGTTTCGATCGTTAAAATTGAATGGGGTTGAAAAAGACTGCATGCTCTGTTTAAGATCACTGGGTGACCAAAAAAAGAAAAGAACAAATCACTGTGTGGCCAGAATAGATGTTCAGATTTGTGGGATTCTATGCCCTTTGATAAATTTATGGAAAAAAACATAAGTAGATTGCCATTATGATAATTGGTGTTCATAATCAAATTTTTATACAAGTGATTACTCAAATGCTGTAAGCAAATCATTTAAAAAATAAATAATTAAAAATAAAAAGGCATTAACTAAGTTTTTCCCTAGGTAGAGTTTTTTTGTTTGTTTGTTTGTTTCATATTAATAAATGTTTTTGGACTTGGAATCAACCTTATAAGAGTTTAAAATATTTTTTTAATATATCTCTTACAGATTCTCAGACCCCTCTCAAGCACCTAGTGCTTATATATAAGGAGAACCTGCTATAAGTGTTGGATTGATTAGACTTTAAGAACTAGTATTTTTATGGTTCTTATATTCAGTATACTTATGGAATGTTATAATTGTTAGGTTTTGATCTATATGTAGGTCATCTACATATCAAAGGCTGCTAAACAGTAGCAAAGATTAAATGCAGGGTAGGAATTATAGAAATTGCCTCCCAACTCAAGTTCAATAGTGACACACAGGCATCGACACATTCTAACTGGCTCCCAGTAGCTTCTATTAGTCATTCATTTCCAGAACACATATATTCTGAGGCTAATGTGCTAAGTATCTGACTGTCCTACCGGTCACTATGACACACACTAACCACCAGGGGGCAGATGCTAAACGCAGGAGCTGCCTTGAAGTGCACTGGCCATTTACAGAGAAATGGCACTGTGGATCTGGCGCCCACAAAGCAACACTCAGCTTCTCCCAAGTGGGACACAGGCCCTGCCACCACCCCGGAGTGACACCACATCAAATTGCAGCCACACTGCTGAGACCCCATGGCACAAAATGTGGCCCACAGCCCATCCCAGCCAGGAAACGGTGGCTGTGGGTGCCAGGTAATGACACCATGTAGCAATGCCTGGCTTCCTCTCCTTAAAGACTAGCCTTCTTGGAGTTTCTTCAGCCCCGGAACATGGCTTGCCTTATAGCCAGTTACCATTTTACACTTTAACCAAATGTTTGTGAAGTGTTTTTCCATGCCTCATCTCATTTGATACTTGCAGAAGTCCTGGAATAGGTAGATAGGAGACTCAGTGGAATCCTATTTCTTTTCATTAGCCAGAAAATGGAGATTTAGAAAGCTTAGAAATTTGACCCAACTGAAAGAAGAAATGGTAGACCTTGAAAATGACTTTAGTTTTTCTCACTGCACAGAATATAGTCAAACACTGCTGCAGTTAAATATTTTACCCTTTGTTTTCCCTGAGTGATCTATAATAACAATCTGCTTCTTATTGACATTTACTCCTGTGTTGCTGACAATTACCTGAAAGGAGTGCTACACTAGGCTGGAAAAAGTTTAGCTAAATCAGAAAGCAGGTGTAATTAAGCAAGTTTATCTATATATGTACAGCTCTCACTGGAGCTAATCGCACATGCGTGTTTTTATTTGTCATTGTTGATTGAGAATTTGGTTGACACTTCTGTCATAAAGGGCAAATAGCGATATTAAAATATGTCTTCTAATTAATTTCCTTTCAACGTGCACGGATTCGTGCACTGGGCCACCAGTATATTAATAATAGAGTAGCCACCTTGGCTAGGAGAATTAGTGACAACTTTTACTACTCTTTCTACCATAAAGCTTGGAAATCATCATGTAGAACTATGCAGTCTACATTTCTCATCCACTTTAAAAAGTGTCAACAGTTTTTTTATCCACCTCTTCTGTACCTATCTGAGAGTCTAGAAAGAAAGAAGTTCAAATCGTGACATGCTGCTTTTTAACAATGGACTATTCTTGAATATACACTGTGATGACATAAAAATTGTTAACTTAGTATAATGGTTAGAAGATTGCTTATATTAACATTTTCTACCTTTATGATAATAATCACAACTCTCCTTTGGCATTTTCTCTCTTTCTCTTATAATTCTGATTAATGAATTGAGATCAACTGGTACCACCCATTGCTTCAACAGTTTTAGCAGAGTGTAAAAGTTTATACTTGGGCACTAAAACACTGGCAGAATAGAATGTGAGGTTAGAAAAATAATCCAAAATTAAAAATTAAGTTGGGTTTAAAAACTAATTTCAATGGGCACAAAATCAGCTTTGTTTTCTTTGCTTTCCTTAACTCATGCAGCCAGTGTCATTGTGTCAGCTCTTTGAAACATCTGGAAGATTATTTTGAGGGATTTCCTAAAGGCCAACAGAAACATAACAACCATTTTATCCAAGGAATGCTTTTTGATAAAGACTTAGCTTTGAACAGCTAAATCCACAGCAGCTTGTTTGCTTCTATTGTTGTATAAAGAGACTTCTATTCAGTTGCATATTTTGAATTCTTGCACATTTACTCACACTAAATTTGTTTCTTGAGTAATGAGTCAGGAGCCCTGAGTCAGGGTGTTCTATATTTCTGGATTTTGTGATATATATATATATATATATATATATATATATATATATATATATATTTATAAAATATATATATTCCTATAAGGTGGGCTTCTCACAGTGACTTGTAAGTTTATACTATAGATGAAATAAAAATAATTTAATTTGAGAGGTAACCTACTTCAATCTTTTCAATCTTGTAGCAGTGTAAACATTTTCTTTTTTTAAAAAATATATTTTATTGATTTTTTTTTTTTATAGAGAGAGAAAAGGAGAGGGATAGAGAGCTAGAAACATCTATGAGAGAAACATGGACCAGCTGCCTCCTGCACACCCCCTATTGGGGATGTGCTGCCCACAACCAAGTTACATGCCCTTGACCAGAATCAAACCCAGGACCCTTCAGTCCGCAGGCTGATGCTCTATCCACTGAGCCAAACCAGTTTCAGTTGTGTAAACATTTTTTAACTCACAATCATCATGAAGGAACTCATATGGCTTAAGGTATTTTTGCATA